CAGCCTAGTCAATTTCATAACCTCAGTTTCACAATGCCTGTAGAAAATTGGCAAGTGTGATTTCCCCTGCTTATATAAGTAGTATAAACTTTCCTTGCCACATCCTACACGTAAATCAAATAACACTACACAATGAAACATTTGGTACTCTACAATGTATGGACGCTGTGGTTATAGACGGCTTATTGTTATATACTTTTTGAAGTATAATGTCATCAGAAGGAGGTTACAGCATGCAGTGTGTGTTCTGTGAACGAGGCAGTCTTAATACTGGTAGAACACAATAGGTATTTCCCATGCCTCAAAAGAGCAATGGCTACAAAACTGAGGCTTGTACAGATAATCCTCGACATGACCAAAATTGAGCCCAATATTTCTGTTGCTAAGCCAGATATTTGTTAAGTGAGTTTTGCCTCAATTTATGACCTTTGTTGCCTCAGTTGTTAAGTGAATCACTGCAGTTGTTAAATTAGTAGCAAGGTTGTTAAGTGAATCTGGTTTCCATACTGATTTTGCTTATAAGAAGGTCGCAAAAGGTGATCATGTGACTCTGGGACTGCCGTAAATATGAGTCAGTTGCCAAGCGTCTGAATTTTAATCACATGACTAGGGGATGCTGCAATGGTCGTAAAGGTGAAAAACAGTCATAAGTTACTTTTTTCAGTGCCATTGTAACTTCAAACAGTCACTAAATGAATGATTGTAAGTCGAGGACTACCTGTACTATGGCAGAAAGCTGTTGTCATAGCTATTATATGGGATAGTTGTGTTGTTTGCTACCAGTTGCAAAGCAGAAGCAATCAAACCTAATGAATGAGCTATTTTTCTTGGACAGCTATTATTTGTTTACTTGTACTCAAATATACCTTAAAATAAGGATCTGTGGAATATATATAACAAATACTGATTTGTAGCACTAAAAATGTTATGTGGGAAGGCCATTAACTAAAAATAACACACAGGTTGCTTTTCTATGTCAAACAGTTTAGCCTCTTTTGCTCCCTATATATCCATCCAGCCTATGCACACAAAAGGATATGAAGTTTTCAATGAATTTCTCAAGGAAAATTGAAGGTTTCAAATGAGATAATTAATTTCTTCAAACTACACCCTCTCATCCATCTAGGAAAAGTTTTTTTTAAAAAGAATGCATTTCACAATGCTATCCTACTCAAATGGTCAGAAGATCATTTTATAGTGGCTCACTATAGGTTTCAGAAAGGTAATCATTTCAAAAAACACATCATATTAAATTGCATAGAGAATTGAAGAATATAGTTCTTAGAATATTAGACATATTCAACATATTAAATCAAGGATAGTATAATATTTTACCTATTATACTATGTAAAATACTTTTGAACATATTGGTTATGTATATTTTTCATTTACCTGAATAAAAATTTGCTTTGCCAGTAGATACTGTATATGTAGAACTTGCCTAAAAGCATTTGTGCTTCACTATAAATTGGCTGGTTGGTCTTTATTTGGTATGTAACTCATCCCATAACAGTTGATCAGTATAGTAGAGCAGAAGTCCCTAATCCCCGGACTGTGGCCCACTACCAGGCCTTGAGCTGTTCAGAACCGGGCTGTAGAAGTGGCAATTGAGTGTGCACCTGAGCACATCCCCACTTGTGTGAGCAGCGGGCAAAGTGCATGTGCACACTCCATTTGCGCGAGTGGCAGGTGTGCATGCCCACCACTCACATGGGACTATCCCCTCTCCCCACCCACCCCGACCAATCCACAAAGCCAGAAAGGTTGGAGAATTTTGTAGAGCCCTGATGTCTAAAATGTATATTTTCTTGCTTGCAATGATTAAAATGAGCCATGTATTTTGAAATATAAAGACATACTATGTCTAATATATTATGTAGCTATTCTGTCAAAAAAAAAAAACTAAGGATAAAACAAATTCTCTCTTCTTTCTGCTTGCTAAAGCTTAAGAAAGTTCTGCTAGACATCAAGGACGTTTATTTTTAAACAATTCCTTTTTGTATCTGTGTGATTTGTTTTGTCTGCATTGCCTTTAGTCTAATAGATACAGTATATGCAAAATAGAAAGTAGACCCCAAACTTCTATCACTGTAAATACATAAAGGTTTTTATAGTTTAAAAATATATTTTAACTCTTTAATATATTTCCATACCTGACATTGGTTCTAGTTAGTTATGATGCTTTTCAAGACAAAGTGCTCACCAGACCTGTTGTAATATAGAGTGTTATCATGGCTGAAGAACAAGATTTGGATCAAAGTATTTGGGTGGAAGTTGAAGAGAACTCTATACAGGTAGTCCTCGACTTGCAACCATTCATTTAGTGACCATTTGAAGATACAACATCACTGAAAAAAGTGACTTATGACTGTTTTTCATACTTACAACTGTTGCAAAATCCTCCATGGTCACATGATGGTTGTAGTATTTAAAGTCATGTGATCATCTTCTGCGACTGTCTGACAAGCAAAGTCAGTGGGAAAACCAGATTCACTTAACCAAATTCATAACCATATTACTAACTTAATAACTGCAGTGATTCCCTTAAGATCTGTGGAAGAATAGGTTATAAAATGGGGCAAGACTCACATAAGAACTGTCCTGTGTTTAGCAATAGAAATTTTGGACTCAATTGCGGTTGCAAATAGAGAACATTTGTTACATTGGTCTTTGCAACTTAATCCATTTTTTAGGAACCCAGTTTTGTGAAAAGGAAAGCATCTCTCCCAGCTAATCCTGAGAGAGTGATACAATATGTTCCTAATTTGAATGCTCTGCTTGAAGCACCGTGATACATTTCCTCCCTCCCTCTCTCTCTATAATTCAGATACACAGTGTGGGAAGCCTGGCTTAAACTAAAATTTAGCGTACAATAAAAATCAGTGATCCCTACTTCTTTCACAGGTCTATTCACATCAAACAAAGTTTAAGAAAAAAGCTATTTCACTTTCAACCATTCAACATAGTACTTTCAGAATAGCATTCTTCTACAGTAGGAAACACAAAGAAAATGAATCAAAGCTGCAGCCCTATATACATTTGTTTAGAAATAACCTTGAACTCAGTGGGGCTTGCTTGTTACACAAGGTTAGGCGGTAAACCATAATGAAAAATTTTGAAACAAGACTCCTGAAACCATGTCACCAATGGCAACCAGCCTTCCCTTGATATGTCTCTTATGAATTTTCAGCTAACTGAAAAATAGTCAAGAGAGATTATTTTTTTTCTTGCTTTATACTGCAGTGTAGGAAAAGTGAATATATTTGACATCTCTAAAATTGGTCAAAATAGATCCCTATTTTCTGGAAATTGTAACATTAAAAAGAAATAAAGTAAGAGTGATAAGCATTAATAAAAAGGTACAATCTCCTGATTTTTCTGTTTTTGTATCCATCCAGTTTAGATATTTAACATATATAATTAACAATACATGTCAAATATGCAATCTGGCTAAATTCTGGAATTGCAAAAACTTGGAAGAAACAAAATCATTTCCAAAAATTGTTACAATGAAAAAGACAACAAGTAATTGCACTGCTATTTCTAGCAAAACCCACACAATCTTTTCTGTTCCTATTTTTATACCTTAGATGTGAACAATGTTGTACAAGCCAGGAATGGTATATTCTCTTTATTACCACTTACAGTAAGCCAGCAACCAAGAATGAATTGCGTAGATTCCTTATTTGTACTAAAGCAGTTCCTCCAAGACATTGTTGCCCATAAGTTCTTGTGATGTTTTATATTTATTTGCAAATGCTGTACTGATATCACAAAATGTAAAATTCCCATAGATAAATTTATCCCATAGATAAATCACAAGTCTTATTTATCTCTGAAGATTTGCATGGCAAGTTAATAATACAATGCATTAGGGCCATATTTAACAACACCAATTTGAACATGCTAGATTATTGTAATGGTCATTCTTATAAACTCTTCTATAAATAAGTTTCTGGAATAATTGATTCAGTCAACAGTATGTATAATTGTCATAAAATATTAAACTTTTCTTTATGAATTGGTCAATACTGAATTGACCATAATTAAAAAACACAACCAAGTTTTTTAAAAAAGAATACTGTCTATCATCTTTGTAGCAATTAACTCATGTTAAAGAAAGAAGAAAATAGATCATAACAATATTCTCCTACATTCTTTGAACACTCATTGTAATTCAAGCTGGAATTCAGTATTACAATCCTATGTCGATTTTTTTAAAAATTGTGCAAAGCTATGGTGTAGAACAGGGGTGTCAAACTCGCGACCAGTGACCCAGATGCAACATGTGCTGGCCATGCCCACCCCCAGTTTAGCGAAGTGGAGAAAGTCACGATATGTCACATGACAACGTGAGTTTGACACCCCTGGTGTAGAATAAGAGCTAAAACAGAAATTGATATATTTCCATTAATACTTATCAGAACTTCTTGAGCATAATTCATATAGTAATAATTCCTAACAATTTTATATAGTCTTTTGCCCTTTTTTTTGCAAAACATTGATAGAAGCCATGTGGAGCAATGGTTAGAATGCAGTATTGCAGACTAACTCTGCCCACAACCAGGAGTTCAATCCTGACTGAATCATGGTTGACTCAGCCTTCCATCCTTCCGAGGTCAGTAAAATGTGGACCCAGATTGGGGCACTATGATGACATTATAAACTGCTCAGAGAGTGCTGTAAAGCACTGTGGAGTGGTATATAAGTCTAAGCAATATTGCTATTGCTATATGTCTGAAGAAAACTCTAAGCTATGGATCTGCAAAGAGACTATTTCCTTCTAAATTTAAATTTTAGATTTCATTTTTTTTTAGATGCAAGCAAGCACTGTACCTTTACTGTATTTTCTGCTGAGCCCTGAACTTTAAGTAGCCCTGTTCTCTGAAAAAATATCATTATGGTGCTTCTTTTAGTTTAAACATCTGAGAGGAACTTTTCAAATGTATTTATATTGGTTTCCCTTTTTTCCTTCTCTTTTCATAAAAGATATGACTTACCTTTTCCATTCTGCCATGCTGTATACCATGATAAACTGAGGAAAGATGTGATGAAAATCAATGCAGTGGCCACAGTTCCATTTCGGAGCCTCATCTCATTTCAACATCACACTGTGAAGATTTGACCAAGGTTCCACATTCAAATTTTGTGGCTTAAAGACCAGATATTCCAATGAATGTTGCTTAGCCAGTAGTAGACAACTGCCCAGTCATTTCTAATCATTGTAAAGCTGGCAAAGACATTGTATTACTGAAGATTTTGTTGTTGTAGAATGGAGTTTTTTAATCTGTTCAATCTGTTATGTTCTGTGAACAAACAACAGTAATTTCAGAATGAGGCTGTACATGAGATATCAATAGTAAATCAAATGCAGTATATTACTTTTAAGAGACAAAACTCTGAATAATCACCTATTTGAATTCTTGGTCCTGCCAAAAATTTACTCAATTGTTCGTAGCAGTATATGTTGGCAGCCCCAAAATAAATACCAGTAGTATCTATTAAAGTTATATTCCTCATTATAGTCTTCTCCTCACACAATGCCTCAGATGTTGCCTCAAATGATCATGGAGACTGGAGGGCATTGAGTCTCAGTCCCTTTTACCACATTAATGCTCACATTGGCTTTATGTTCAGAGGCAGCAGCTGATTGGGCCAGCTTGCTATTAGCATAACAAAAGAGGGGTTTTTTGTTAACTGCATGATGCACAGCTGCATTTTGAGAGGCAAGTCTCCATGATCACTTGAGGCAACATCTGATTGGACCAGCTTACTGACAAGGTTTTTTTAAAGGTTGGTTTGGTTTTTTTAAATATGCAATGAATAGCCAGATCATCAACAGAACAGCTGCAGAAACACTTTTTCGGGGAATCTCCCCAGAACTTATGCCCCATGATCTAATCTTAGCATCACTTGGATATCCTCAAACATAATATTTTCTCTTATCCTCAAGACTGCCTTTTTTCCCTTTTCCTAAGGGTCTGAATTATTTCTTAATGGTAAGTTTTAGATTTTAATATGGCAAAGTAAATAAAACACTTTGATCACTTGCATTTTACTCAGAAAGGGATAGTATCTAAATCTGTGAATTTCATTATTTTGTATTCACACTTTTACATCATTATTTAAATGTTCATTTAAGTATCTATGATGCTTTAGCATTATGCCAGATATTCAGAAAAAAGCTTGTTATGTAAACGCAATGTTGAGACCTCCTGATAAATTGCTAATTTCAATTTTAAATAGGGTTATGGGGAAAGAGTCATGAAAAATAAAATGAACATGAGAATCCAGTACAGGTAAAGTAACTAACATATTGTCTGCCCAAGTGCATTAAAGTGGTAATGGAGTGCTTTAGTAAACACAAATGTGCATGCCTTCCTCATGATATAGTTCCCAACCTATTGCTTAATACTCCTATGTTACACTATTCTGCACTTTGGGCGGGGGGGACATTCCCTACCCCCTATCCAGAGGTGGTTTCAGCAGGTTCTGACCAGTTCTGGAGAACCGGTAGTGGAAATGTTGAGTAGTTCGGAGAACCAGTAGTAAAAATTCTGACTGGCCCTGCCCCCATCTATTCTCTGCCTCCCAAGTCCCAGCTGATCAGGAGGAAATGGGAATTTTGCAGTAACCTTCCCCTGCCACACCCACCAAGTCATGCCACGCCTACCAAGCCACACCCACAGAACCGGTAGAAAAAAAAATTGAAACCCACCACTGCCCCTATCCCAAGTAAATGTTTCATTTGAAGAACCTTGAAAAACTCAGATGGCTTCTATTCCTTCCTAGAGGACAATTCTTCAATAGGTGAGATCCAATCAGTTCAAGCTTTCCTTTAAGTTTTTCACTAGCTTTGCAAGCTCTCCATTTCATTTCTACTTTTCATGAAGTCAAATTGCCACATCCTGATATGGAAGAAGAGTCTTAATTCAGCCAGACAAATTTCTCCTACCCATTCATTCCTTTTAGACCAGTTGAAAAGACTGAGAAGGGCCATGAATTATCATTTCCCAGCATCCAGCCAGGCTGCTCTGATTACAAATGGTTTATGTTGTGCTTATAGCAGACACACAGCAGGTTCAGAATGCTGAGAGGGAAAGGACAGAAACTCCTAGCTTTCATTTTATTTACTTGGATGAGAAATTGGTTGTGTGAGTAGAAACTGCCCTTACTATCTTCTTAAGTCTTTTTAAAGTCTTCCAAATAGCAAGAGTACAAAGGGAGGACACAGAGTTTCACAGGTAGGCCAGTTTTGGAAAAAATCACAGTGGCGTCTGCCCATTGGCACACACACACAAGCTCACACACATGAAATGAAATTAGTAATGTTACAGGAAGATATCCATAACATATTTCCTTTTTGTGCTAATATAGAAAAGGGCCAGGGAATATTTGGAAACATTCCTAAAGGAAAGAAGAATTTCAGAAAACAAAATTAGACTGACTCGATGCAAAAATAATTAAAGTTAGCTCCTATTGAAGTTAATAGAATAATATTTAATTCACATTGCATTTTGCTCCCATATCCCATCATCCAGCTAATTAATCAGGATCCAATCTGCAAATCATCTAGTCCAGTTCCCTGCCGGGTGTAGCTTACAAAAAATAAAAATAAACATAAGGACCCAGCCAAATGCAGAAAAGATTAGGAAAGTCTAAGAATAACTTGCAGCCTAATTTTAGAAGCTTGAAGAAAAAGGGATACAAAAACTCCAGATATATTGATATATTCCATGAATAAACTCTGTGTCTATTAGGTGCATGTTCCAAAACCCATCACTACTGGTTCGCTTGTGCGTGTGCGGGCGCTCGTGCAGACATGCATGCACAGAAGTGGGTGGGGGGGACCTTTCCCCGCCGCTACCAGTTCGCCCGATCTGGTGCGAACCGGTAGCAACCCACCACTGGTGTCTATGTAATGAGCAGTTAGCTTATTCAAATATCTGTTTTCTGTTATGAATCTCCTCAGCAATTCTAAGCCAACTGCAATTCATCCATACTGGCATTACTTTATTTAAAGAAGGTATTTATTATTGTAATTATCAAAAGATTTGATCTAGTTGATTCTGTTATGTGACTGTACAGAGGCATAGTAAAACATATCATTTTTGCCAAACAAAAACAGAATTTGTCAGTAACAGTAACAAAAAAGAAATGCCATATGGTTCCAAGGTATTATTAACATCACTGTTTATGACACTACAGTAAAAAGTAACATCATCAGTTTTGAAAACAAGCTATTTTTCACAAACTAGAGATGGTTCTCTGCAGGCTAATACTTATCCACCATGAAGGTGCATCAGTAAATACTGTCACATTAATGAAAAGTATAACCCTAATAAGGCTTAGCACAATTAAGTTCTACTAGGAGCTTTTCATTATTGGGAGCTTCCCCCAGAAAACAATTGATTTCATGGTGGCATTCCCAGATCTGTATTTTGGTTGCCTCGTAAAACTATTTCTGCATTAATACAGAAGGTCTAGAAATCATTTAAATGGCAAAAATGGAACTGATAGTTAAAACAACTAGCTTAACTCTCACCAGAAGCTAAAATTTGGAAACCAATAAAGCAAAATATTTGTAGCTCAGGGTTGAAAAGACGGGGCCTTGCTGCTCTCCTTGCCTCCTTGCGGTGCAGCACTGATGATGTTACCTAGTTTGGGTAATGAAACATCTTCAAGAAAACAACCAAGCTCAGAGAGCACCAAGGACCCTTCAGAATTTTGAGAGCCATCTCCCATCCCACCAACAAATCAAGATGGTCTTCTTCTGGAAATCCCAGTTCCTCCATGGAGCAGTTCGACTTTGGAGTTGCAGATGGATAAGACCATTTTCAGCACTTGAACAGCCATTTTTTTAAACCGTCGCCCCCTACCATCAATTCCTTCAACATTCTCCAGGCTGTGCTTGCAACCTATTTCAGTACTAATTTCATTTGCAGGTTTGAAAAACTGCCTTTTTTTAATAAGCAAAGTAGGAAACAAAATGAGGAAAAACAAGTCAATGTAGTTCTAATGCTGGTAACATCATTTATGCCAGAATGATTCATACTTAAGTTGCTCTGTCCATTTTTTTTGGTACTTCAAAATCCTTAAATAGAACATAATAAATAATCTGCAAAGAATGTGAGCTTGTGTATGTCAAAAACTGACAATAAAATTGAATCAAATACAAACCAGCTCCAGGGAAAATAAACTATCAAGATTATTAAGCCATTAAATAAATGTCTATGACCAATAGAGACTGCAAATCTAGTACTGGTTGGGGTATAACTATTACACTTATGGTTGGCAAAATAAAGGATGGCTGTTTTTTCCCTCCAACTATATTTTACTCTCACTGTTCAATTAGGCGATTTATAATAATTGTATTTTTGCTTTCTTTTTAAACTTCTCTAGTTATTTTATTTGTCCCTTAAATATAATTAAATGTGTACATACAGCAAACATGCAGGGAGTTGTTAAGCACTGTTTTTAATATATCTGTTTTAAAATGCTGACTGTAATATTTACAGGGAAAGGAATATGTTCTTCCGTAGATACATATCTAGCCACATAGCAAGAGATGCATAATATTTTAACTCAACGGTGTTAATAGTTTTGAAAAAAATCCGAAGGAGTCTGGTAGCAATTTTTCTGATTACTAAATTTTATCGAAAGACATATGCTTTCAAGAACTGCAATTCCATCTGTTCAATAATGTATGCCGTTTAACAAAACTTGTTAGTCAAAAAAGGTGCTACCAGAATCCTGATCTTTTTTTACCACTATAGCTGTCCTCTTACAAGGTCAGTAGTGCTGAAGTTTGTCTTTCATGTATTTAAGCTTTTCTCCCTCTTCCTACAAACTCTCCTCCCCCCCCAGAAAATAATATACCGTTGTTGTTTTTTTAGAGCAGGCATCAGAATTTCATTTTTTAAATGTGTGCCAGTGTGTTCACAGAAAAAAAATGACAGTAAAGGTTATCTTATCTTATCCTATTATAAAGACTAAAAGTAATTACTTTCCAAATACATATAACGAAAAAAAATGACAATAAAGGTTATCTTATCTTATCCTATTATAAAGACTAAAAGTAATTACTTTCCAAATACATATAACACACAAGTGTTTTTATGTAAACAAGATCCAATTATTCAGGATAATTTAGTAACACTCCTGTATTCAATAGGGTCCAAATAAAGTTTAGAACTGCCGTCTAAAGTAGCATTTGAGTGGAATGGAAAGTGTAGCACGAGAACAATGTAACAGAGACTTGCGTTTAATATTCTTACTGCAAGACAAACCATTCTGATTGAGCTTTCAGTGGTCACATCTGTACTAGAGCTACCAATAAGGAATGTGTTGGATTCTCAAATGCAAACAGCCCCTATTTTGGTGGCTTTTCTCTATTTACATATCAATATATAGCCAGTGTTTTTTTAAAAACTGTCTTTAAAGTGTCTTTAAAAAACCTGATAGTGCTCATATGCATTACAACCAGTGGTGGGTTCCTCCCGGTTCCGCCAATCCTGTAGCGGTGACAATAAGACGTCACCAAACTGGTTCTGCCCCCCCGCGGTCCCCCCTGTGTTATTCTTACCTTTTATTTAGCTCCACGCCCAATCTATTGCTGCCTCCTGAGTCCCAGCTGATCGGCTAGAAGGAAAAAAAACTGTTTAAACTCTTGTTCTGGAGCTTCAAAGGGCCACCCTACAGCTGATCAATGTTAAAAGGCAGTGTGCTGGTAGACTGGTGCCTCCAAAAACAAATTAGTAGACCGGTACAGCTCTGCAAGCAGTTAAAAGCCTGGTAGACCAGTATCTCTGCTAAATACTAAAGAATTGTCACATGACCATCAAGCCACAACCACAAAATAAGCCACGCCCACAGAACCAGTAGTAAAAAATTTTAGAACCCACCCCTGATTACAACCTTATCTTTATTCATAGGTATGTGTGTGTCTATTGTTATATATAATGTCAGAATAAATTTATAGTTTAATAAACTGCATACTCCTACAAGAAAGCTAATTCAATATAGGCATCAGGAACTATTTTATATATAGTGCATTCAGAAAGTATTCACTTTTGTCAATTTTGTTATGCTGCAGCCTGTTCTACAGTTCTTTAGTTATTGAAATTCATTCTTTTTCATTAATCTATACTCAGTAACCCATAACAACGAAGTGAAAACAGAATTTTAGGGATGTCTGTAAATTTATTAAAAAGAAAAAAATGAAGTATTCCATTGGCATAAGTATTCAGACACTTTGCAACAACACATAAAATTTAGCTCAGGTGTCTCCCAGTTCTCTTGATCATTGTTGAATGTTTCTACACCTTGATTGGAATTGACCTGTGGTAAATTAAATTGATTGGACATGATTTTGAAAGACACACCTCTCTATAGAAGGCCTCACAGCTGACAATGCGTACTGTAGCAGAGCAAAAGCCATGAGGCCAAAGGAACTGCCTGCAGAGCTCATAGACAGGATTATTCCAAGGCACAGATCTGGGGAAGGCTACAATAAAATTTCTGCTGCACTGAAGGTTCTTAAGAGCTTAGTGGCCTCCATAATTCTCAAATGGAAGAAGTCTGACACAACCAGGACTCTTCCAAGAGCTGGTCACCCAGTCAAAATGAGCAATTGTGGGAGAAGGGCCTTGGTAAGAGAGGTGACCAAGAACCCGATGGTCACTCTGACTGAGCTCCAGAGATCCTATGTGGAGATGGGACAGAGATCCAGAAGGATAACCATCACTGCAGCTCTCCACCGATCTGGACTTTATGGCAGAGTAGCTAGACAGAAGCCTCTCCTTAGTGCAAAATACATGAAAGCCCACTTGGAGTTTGCAAAAAAGCACCCAAAAGACTCTCAGACTGTTAGGAACAAGATTCTCTGGTTTGATGAAACCAAGATTGAACAGTTTTGCTTCAATTCTAAACATTATGTCTGGAGGAAACCAGACACTGTTCATAACCTGCCCAATATCCTCCCAACAGTGAAGCATGGTGGTGGCAGCATCGTGCTATTGGGGTGGGGGTGTTCAACAGCAGGGACTGGGAGACTGGTCAGGATTGAGGGAAAGCTGAATGGAGCAAAGTACAGGAATATCCTCAATGAAAACCTGTTCCACAGTGCTCAGAACCTCAGACTGGGCCGAAGGTTCACTTTCCAACATGACAACAATCCTAAGCATACAGCCAAGACAACACGTGAGTGTCTTAGGGACAATTCTGTGAATGTTCTAGAATGGCTCAGCCAGAGCCCTGACTTGAATCCTATTGAACGTCTCTGGAGGGATCTGAAAATGGTTGTCCACCGATGGTCACCATCCAATCTGAGCTTGATTGGATTTACAAAGAAGAATGGCAGAAAATCCCCAATCCAAGTATGCAAAGCTTGTTGCATCATACACAAAAAGATTTGAGACTGTCATTGCTGCCAAAGGTGCTTTAACAAAGTACTGAATGAAGGGTCTGAATACTTATGCTCATATGACATTGCAATTTTTTTCTTTTTAATAAATTTACAGACATTTCTAAAATTCTGTTTTCACTTTGTCATTATGGGGTAGTGGGTGTAGATTAATGGAAAAAAATGAATTTCAACAACTGTAGAATCAGGTTGCAGCACAACAAAATTGACAAAAGTAAAGTGGGTCTGAATACTTTCTGAATGCACTGTATGTAAAAGTGTCTCTCTGTGTATATAAATAAAAAGATATGGTATCTAAAGGGGAATAGAGAAGCAAGTGACATTGCGCACTTCACAATATCACACAAATGATCTAGTTTTGAAATTTTTGTGACATCACTACATGCCTAGGAATACTGGCCTTTGACCAAGAGACTATACTGCCATATTCAAATTGTGTATGCTGCTATCTACCTCTTTCTGTTACTATTATTAAAATAATACCTGAATAAAGTTGTGGTCTAATTTAATAAGTTACGTACGCCTACAAATAAAATTAATATAACATAGGCATTAGAAAAATTATGCCTATTAAAAAAATTGCCAGTGTGGTCAATTAGGATTGGGGAATTACAAAATTTACTGGGTAACTGAGCTAATTGCCCAGGATAACTCTGAATATATATATATATCACCTTTAAAGCGCTCCATGGCATAGGGCCTAGCTATCTGCGAGACCGCCTGCTGCTACCGACGACCTCCCATCGACCCGTGCGCTCCCACAGAGAGGGCCTCCTCAGGGTGCCATCAGCCAAACACTGTAGGCTGGTGACCCCCAGGGGAAGGGCCTTCTCTGGGGGGGCTCCTACCCTCTGGAATCAGTTGCCCCCTGAGATAAGGAGAATCCATGACCTCAATGCCTTCCGTTGTTCCCTTAAAACCCATCTTTTCCAGCAAGCCGGGTTGGCTTAACAAGAAATTTTTAAATTCTTTTAATCAGTCTGTGATTTCTTAACTTTCGGGCCAAAATTTATATATATTTTTAACTGTTTTTTAATATTTGTATTCTATGTTTTTATCTTGGCTGTACACCGCCCTGAGTCCTCAGGGAGAAGGGCGGTATATAAATTGGAAATTAAATTAAATTAAATATATAAATGCAAGAAATAGATAGCTTTAGCACAGAGCTGCAAAAACATCAGGGAGATGGACAACTAACATTTCCAGACAGTGTAATCAAAGAAAAGCAATGAATAGCTTAAGTCTTGTTTTAAATAAATCCTTTTAGCTACTTTGTTTTAGATGAAAACGCAGAGCAAAAATAATCCAAAATAAATCCTGGGCACATAATACTCAAATATTTTGTCCATCAAATAGTTTTCCTCTCTTTATACTGATTTGAAGTTTTTCTCTCTTACACTTACAGAAAGTGACTCTCTCAACCACACCTATTTCTTCAGGTCTTTCCGTACCCATGAACTTAATATAGCCGCTTTTTTGCGTGTAAATCCATCTCGGTTTTCCACACTTTCCACCAATTTTATACAGATCCACCTGCTTGTGTGGAAAGGGGAAGGGAGTGACAGCCCACAGACAGACTGCCGTTTCCCAGTCTACACACCCTCCACTCATGCGGTGCCACAAAAATATCTCCCCACTACCACCCACCTTTGGGGGGCGGGTAAAGTCCCAAATGTCACAAAGTCGGACACGCGGCAAGCTCGGCGCCCGTCCGCCTTACCTCCGAGGCACAGTTCCGGGAGGACAGCAGTCCCACGACACGCGAGTTTCCCGCGCGCCCTCACCAGCCAGCACAGGCACGCGGCTCCCCCTCCTCATAACTTCCGACCGTCCTCCCACCACTTTCTTCCCGCCTTCCCTTCTTCTCCTTCCTACCTGTATCTATCCGAAGGCGTGAAAGAAATAATAATAATAATAATTTTAAAAAAAAAGAAAGAAAGAAAGAAAAAGAAAGCCCCGAGCTGCCGCAGTGAGCGGTCCGTTTACTCCCAAAGCCCGACCCGCGGACGTTCTCACGGCTTGCCCGAAGATGCTGCGGCGGCCGGGAGTACCACCCAGCCTGTACCAACCACCCCCACACACACACACACACACTCGTCCCTCTTTCTCTCCGTCCCTCCTATCCGCCACCCGCCTCGATTGCAACCATCACCCGAGGCTGTCATTCGGGGCAGATGCCCTGCAAGCTTCTCTCCGACCTCCGCCAAATCATTCCAAGGCCGCGGTAGGCAGCATCTCTTCCCCCCCCCCCCCGCTCCCTCAGGTGAATGCGTCTCTTCCTCCTCTCGCCCCCACCCCAGATCACAGCCCGGAGTAGAAACAGCTACATCGGGACGCTACTCCGTCCTCTCCTTCACGACGCTCACCTTGGACCGCAGAATCGCCGCTCCTGCACGGGGGATTCCAGAGTGCGCAATTGCGACGGAACCCCCGCTCGCCGTTAACGCCGCCGTCAGCCGAGAGAGGTTGCCTTCTGGATGCCGTGCAGGAGGAGGAAAAAGAAAAAAAAACCCCTCCCAGGGCAATAGTTGACTTCAGGCACCACGAGCCTCCCCGGCTAGGCTGGGAGTACCCGCCTCCCTTCACTTACTCGCATTGCCATTGGCCAAGACGAGCCGCATAAGTCACCAATTAACAATCTTTGCTTGAATGGTCCTTTGCAACCGATGGTCTGCGAAGATGTCAGTCCCCTACTCGGCCCTTATATACAAGTCTCGCGAGCTTTGTTTTCCTTTTGGAGGTGCGGGGCTGTAGGAAATAAGTGGCCGTGTGAGTGGTGTGTGCTGCGTTCGTTTGCGATTGCTCTCGCTCTCACATAAAAGTGCCTAAGATGGTACTGTTTCCTCGCTATTGATTCCACCCAATATTTATACAGATACACAAAAGCAGATTTGGGGGACAACACAGCGAGAGCAATCGGAGAGCTACTAGTAACCCTTCATCTTAACATCCTTGGTCTTATCTGAGCTGCGAGCTGCTTTCCTTTTTTTAGCCGTCCTTGCCCGATACTCTGACGTCTGTGTTGGAAAAAAAGTGTAATCTTACCCAAGAAAGAGAGAAAAAACCCGACACTTCTGCTTTCAAGTTCTCTGGGCCAACTACCGGCAGCAGGCGATTAGTTCTGCTAAACGGGTTGTTTGAAAAAGCTACTTGAATCTAAAATAATACTTTGAAATAGAATGCAAGAAAATCATATAATAAAGATTTTGTCTTAGAACAACAGCAAACTAAGCTCCTTGGAAAAGATGGAAGGACAGAAAAGGGGACGACCGGCAGCAACTTGGATGGATTCAGTTATGGTGGGGATGAGTGCAACATTGAAATATCAGATTAGCATTAGCTCATTGTGAAGAAAATCTATGGTTGCTAGAGGTCGAAAACAACCTGATGACACACTTATCTAAAACTTCTCTTTTGCCAAATTATAGCTTCTATATTGCATAAAGGCGCACACAGCTATTCTTATAAGAACCTTTTAATTTTTTAAAAAAGTTTTTTTTAAACTTCTGTCTGTACAGAAGCCAAAGGAAAAGTGGAAAGATTAGAAGTAGAAGACATTACTGAGCCTTTCCCTATTAAAGTGCTGCCCATTTCTCCCTTAGTTACCACGAAACTATGTTGACGTAAAAGTTGTTGTTCCCATTGCCACTCCCTGTCCTGCCTCTGTCCTGCCAAGTGGTGTCATCTTGACGGGCTTGTCTGCTTCTCTCTTTCTCCTTTGCTCTTATCTCTTGCACATCATTGCTAGCAGCAAGAATACGGAACAGAACAGTACAAATGGCGTGAGAGTGATTTCAGGACTCTCTAGATCAATTTATCTGTTCTTCCCAAATAGCCATTGACTATCTTTCCAAATTAAAATAGTATAAAAGAAACATAGGAGGATATCAAAACAGAAATAGCTTCAGACAGTAGGGGAGGGGAGCGGGCAATGACTCAGCAATCAGATAATATCTATAGGGTAGGTTTACTGGAACTGACTAGATCAAATTCACCTGAATTTTAAAGGATTGGCAAATTCCTCATTCCTCATTATTTTCTAATGACTGCAAAACGGAAAGGTAGAACAACTGCAACTAAAGATAGATGGTGCCCTTGGCGTATCACAGGGGTGTCAAACTGGTGGCCCGTGGGCCAGATGCGTCATGTGCAGGCCACACCCATGCCAGCTCCACGAAGGGGGGGGGAAAGTCACAAAAGTCATGTGACTGCAACATGACGCCGCAAGTTTGACATCTGTGTTCTACTGATATCATTCCTGAGCCTTGGTAAAAGGGAATTGTACAAAGAACCACTTTTCTTCCCCAAATAAAATAGGGGAGGTCTCGTTTTATTTCCTCTATTTTGTTGAAATCTTGGAAAAAACATTGATTCAAAAATAGGGAAATAAGATAAAGAGTAACTTTCAAAGAAAATCTGGAAACAGTGCTATAATAGGAAAAGCAAGATGAAAATGGCCGAAGAGATTACTGGGCGGAGGGGCCATGCTAGTCACACTCATGATAATTACCTGAATTCACCTTCAAGATAGTGGGTGACAAAGTGATAGGGATTTTACATACATTGAGCCTGTGCTGGGGCATGGTAAATCTAATGGAAGAAAAGTAACATTTCTGCAGCCTTATTGATGACTTAAAGCTGATTTGCTCCTCTCCTAGGGTAGCGGTCCCCAATCTTTAAGACTTGGTGGCCCAGCCAATGGGGGGGGAGAGTGGAACTGGGCCCCACAAGTGGTGGGCTAGTTCAGAAGTCAGCCCTGAGCAGCTCATACCCAGCTGCTCAGGGCTGACTTCTGAACTAGCCATGGTCCAGCAGTGGGCTGCAGCTTGGGGTTGGGATCCCTGCCCTAGGGGATGAGACTAGACAACATCCTGTAACCAAGGGGCAAGATGGAGGCTGTTTGGCCATGATGGTGCTGCTGTATGGTAGAAATAGGGACAGGGTAAATAGAACAGAACAGAACAGAATATAATTTTTTATTGGCCAAGTGTGATTGGATACACATCATCAAGAATCATAAGGTACAACACTTAATGATAGTCATAGGGTACAAATAAGCAATCAAATCATATTAGGAAATAGTCAATATAAATCGTAAGGATACAAGCAACAAAGTTACCGTCATATAGTCATAAGTGGAAGGAGATGGGTGATGGGAACGATGAGAAGATTAATAGTAGTGCAGACTTAGTAAATAGTTTGACAGTGTTGAGGGAATTATTTGTTTAGCAGAGTGATGGCATTCAGAAAAAAACTGTTCTTGTGTCTAGTTGTTCTGGTGTGCAGTGCTCTATAGCGTCGTTTAGCAGACTTATTTGTTTAGCAGAGTGATGTCATTTGGGAAAAAAATGTTCTTGTGTCTAGTTGTTCACAGCCCTCTTTTTGCCTCGTGCAGTATACAGGTCCTCAATGGAAGGCAGGTTGGTAGCAATGGCTTTTTTCTGCAGTTCTAATTATCCTCTGAAGTCTGTGTCTGTTTTGTTGGGTTGCAGAGCCAAACTTGTTCTGCCCCAGCTATGGACCCCAAAGAACGCAGAACACACACAGTCTGTACAAAACTTAATTTACTAAAATAACTCAGTCTTTTTCAAACAAAGGCTGTTAATAAACTTTCTTAACAGCCTACAGGAAACCAAAGATAAAGTAATCACAATATTACTATGGTTGGCAGAAAGCCCAAAAGCAATTTGCAGAGAATCCAAACACGAAGGAGAGTGAACTAAAGTTGTTCCCTACAAATTGCTTCAGTCAGCATTCTTCCTTAAATAGGCTAAGGGAGTGGCCAATTAGCCCCAAGCTTTACTTTCAAGGAGACCTCCTCCTGCCTTTTGGCAGCTCTGCGCACCCGTGCATCAAGAAGAAGCTTCTCCTCTTCGTCTTTCACACTTAAAGGAGCTTCTGGAGGTTCTGAAGGCCCTGGCTGAATCCCTGCCTCTGGCACCGCATCTTCTCCAGCCTCCTCATTGTCTGACTCAAGTGCCAGCTGCACAGGCTGTTGGCACAACACCACATCAGCCTCCTCGTTGTCAGAATCAGCTACAATCTCCACAGGCCGCTGACGGGCCACAACACTACCAGACAGATATAGAGGTGCAAATGACAGACTCAATAATTCCTCTGTAGAACTGTATCAGCAGCTCCTTGGGCAGTTTGAGCTTTCTGAGTTGGCGCAGAAAGAACATTCTTTGTTGTGCTTTTTTGATGATGTTTTTGATGTTAGGTGTCCATTTTAGATCTTGCGATATGGTAGAACCTAGAAATTTGAAGGTCTCTACTGTTGATACTGTGTTGTCTAGTATTGTAAGAGATGGAAGTATGGAAGGGTTTCTCCTAAAGTCTACCACCATTTTTACGGTTTTGAGTGTGTTCAGTTCCAGATTGTTCCAGTCGCATCACGAGGCTAGTTGTTCAACCTCCCATCTGTATGCGGATTCATCATTGTCTTGAATGAGACTGATCACTGTTGTGTCATCTGCAAACTTCAGTATGAAGATGAATCGTTAGAGATGCAGTCATTGGTATAGAGAGAGAAGTGGGAAGAGCACACAGCCTTGGGGGGGCCCTGTGCTAATTGTACAGGTATCTGATGTGATTCTGCTTAGCTTCACCTGCTGGGAAGCTTATGATCCATTTGTGTTCAAGTACCTCTAGCTGGTTTAGCTTAGAAGTGTGTCTGGAATGGTGGTATTGAATGCTGAACTAAAGTCTACAAAGTGGACCCTTGTGTAGGTGTTTGGAGATTCAAGATGTTGTAGGATGTAATGCAGAGCCACATTAACAGCATCATTTGTTGATCTATTTGCTCGGTATGCAAATTGCAAGGGGCCTAACAGTGGATCCGTGATGGTTTTGAAGTGGGACAGCATTAGCCTTTCAAAGGTTTTCATGACTACAGATATTAGTCCTTGATGGTGGGCTTCTTTGGCACTGGGATAATAGTAGAGTGTTTGAAGCAAGAAGGAACATAGCACATCTCTAGCTATTGAAGATTCAGGTGAAGATAGGGGCCAATTGATTAGCACAGACTTTTAAGCAAGAAGGAGTTATCTTGTCTGGGCCTGGAGCTTTTCCTGGTTTTTGTCTGTGAAATAGGTCTTGTACTTCCTTTTCTAGACTTCCTTGTGAAATATTGTGAAAGAGGACAATCATTTGTACTTTACTGATAAGCATTCTGTCTCAAGATCCAGAACTGTTTGTATGGCCAGCTCTGGTTTTTTTCTTAAAATATTTTTTTTTAGATACAAGTATACTTGATTGCAGTAGGAGTTATTTTGAAGTGGGCTGTAATTAGATTTACAATCTTACAGAGGCCTAGAAACTAGAAAACTATTCAAGTCCCACCTTATGCATGAAAAACCGGCTGGGTGACTTTGGACCAGTCAGTCTCTTTCAGCCCACCTCACCCCACCAAGTTACTATTGTGGGGAAAATAGGAGGAGAAAGGAGTATTAGGTCTGTTCTCCACCTTGAGTTATTGATAAAAATAATAAACATGGGACAAAAAAAATCAAATAAATAAAAATAAAATGGCTGGATGGCTGTGGCCTAATGATATATATCAGGGGTGTCAAATTCGATTTCATTGAGGGCCGCATCAAGGTTCTGTTTAACCTTGGAGGCTGGGTGGGCATGGCCAGCTTGACTTCACTCGAGTTGGGGATGCCTGTGGTGGCCTGAGTGATCTGTCAGTGAAAACAGAGCTTAGGTGACTGCGACGGCCTCCTGCAACCCTCTGCCAGAGAAAACGGAGCTCAGAAGGGCTGCATGTGAGCTCCATTTTCGCTGGCAGAAGGTTGCAGGAGGCCATCGCAGCCACCCAAGCTCCATTTTCGCTGGCAGAGGCACTGCAGGCCTGTCCTTCACTGTTTCCAGGGTAGCCCCATGGCCCAGATCTAAGCATCCCGCAGGTCAGATCCGAGGTCCCCAGGCCTTGAGTTTGACACCCCTGATTATATCATGCCAGTCAGATAAAAGAGGAAGCTAAATGGGGAGGGGTATAATAGAGAAAAGAGTTTGTCTTGCTTTTCTGCCCACTGGAACTGCCA